TGTGGGAGCAGAGTGGGATTCCCTCACATGCCAGAATGGGATTTGTACAGGCTATTTGAATTCTTCTGAATGTTGTCTAAGCAGTAGAAAAAAAAATAAAAATCTAATTTTGAAGCAAGTGAGAACAGTTCCTCTCTTTGAAACCTGAACAACTGGATGTCAAACATGCACACACACGGGTGGCTTATATTTGGGGTTTCTGCAGACAAAGCAGGAAGGAAATTGGTTGGTGTGGGCTAACAAGACATCCTGATTCATCACTTTTTGTCACACTTAGGAATGAGAATAGAAGGTATGAAATATGAGACTAGGTGAAATGGCAAACAGATCCTTCCCTCCCTTTAACAAAAAAAAAAAAAAAAAAAGGCAAAATACTGCAGGGAATGGGGTTTAGTCAATACAATTTTTTAATTGATCAGCTCTTACTCTCAGAGTAAGACAATTTATGAACGATTATTATTTTGATAGCCTTAGTGAACTGAGTTGCAGCTTATTCATTCAGCACACTGAATATTATTGGTGAAAAAAAGTTTAAACCCTCTTGCATACAGAAAGGACAAAGATCTTACAGAGGCAGAAAATGACTTACATTTTGGCTGGTAGAAAATGATCCTACAGATGTTTGAAATATTTAAAGGGTATTGTAGAAGAAAGCTTGCATGAGTGGGAGGCAAAGGACTTCAGTCTTCAGGACTGGAAACCCATTTTTTTTCATCAGCACTAATGTCACCTTATACGAAGATAAAAATTAAAACACACTCCCTTCTTCAGTATGGCATTTAATGAGCTTTTTGGCACAGCAGCGGTGTCAAACTCTCACTAGGGCCCTCTGCTGCTCACAGAGTGAAAAACTCCAAACTTGTTTGGGACTCCTAGAAAAGGCTTAGAATGCTTAAAACAAGCAAAACGCCAATAATCTTGCAAGGGACGTAAAACTTAAGTCCTCAAGGATCAGGACTACATTAGTCTTTACCGATGTGAGCTAAGAATAGGCTTTTTAATGAGCAGGTATTTTCAAACTCCTTGCTGCAGGATATCTTGCATTCATGCTGGCTGCTGGCAGGGGCACAGTATGCAAGGCTGCAGCTTATCTGGGTTGATAGTTGTTAATTAAAAACTTCTGATATTCAAGGGACTTTTCTGAGAGAGAAAACATATTTATTTCATTAATTTTTCTCCTCTTATTATTGCTAAAAATATTTTTTATCAGGGATATAATTTTCCTCTGGTATTATCCACATAGTGTCTGATTTTGTAAGATCACTTGGCTGCTGTGGCACTCAGTACCTTACCAGCAGCAAAAGGAATTTTAGGAAGAAAACAAACTCCAAAAGCAGAATGAATATGAGAAACCAAAAGTTCCTATTTTTCACAAATACATCTCTGAGAACAGAAGAGAAAAAGGACAGTAAGAAAGCAGCCCAACTGGGCATATAGTGACACGATCTCCATTATGATATTGTTATTTTCCTTTTGCAGAATCCCAGAACCTGAACATTTTTAGGCATGTGACACAATTTCATGGCTAGGAGATGCTCAGCTTTCTGGATGGACCAATACAGCTTTAGTATGTACCCCAATATGCCTCTAAATGTGCTACAGCAAGTGATTTTTATGATACAATAGGCATCACAGAAACATGGTGGGATGGCTCCTATGACTGGAGTGTTGGAATGGAAGGTTACAGGCTCTTTAGAAAAGACAGGCCAGGAGGACGGGGAGGGGGAGTTGTTGTTTATTTTAGTGATTGGCTGGAGAAGTATGGTGTGAACTCGGTGTGCTGGGGACAGGTGAGCAGTTAATAGAGAGTTTGTGGGTCGGGGTTAAAGGGAGAACAGCGATGGGAGACATTACTGTTGGGATCTGTTACAGAGTGCCTGATCAAGAGGAATCGGAGGATGAAGCACTCTACAGACAGATAGGAAAAGCCTCATGCTCACAGGCCCTTGTTCTCATGGGGGACTTCAGCCACCCTGTTATCTGTTGGAGGGATGGTACTGCCCGGCACAAGCAATCCAGAAGGTTCCTTGATTGTGTGGAAGACAACTTCCTTCTGCAAGTATAGAGGAGCCGACAAGGAGAGGTGCCATGCTTGACCTCGTGCTCACCAACAGGGAAGGGGTCGTCGGAAATGTGGCACTCCAGGGCAGCCTTGGATGCAGCGATCATGAGATGGTCAAATTCGAGATCCTCAGGATAGTGAGAAGAGCGTGCAGCAAGCTCACTGCCCTGGACTTCAAGAGAGCAGACTTTGGCCTCTTCAGGAACCTGCTTAGTAAGGTTCCATGGGATATAGCCCTAGAGGGCAGGGGGGGCCAAGACTGCAGTGCCCCGGGCAGCAGCAGCATCAGCGGTGCCCCGGGCAGCAGCAGCAGCATCAGCGGTGCCCCGGGCAGCAGCAGCAGCATCAGCGGTGCCCCGGGCAGCAGCAGCAGCATCAGCGGTGCCCCGGGCAGCAGCAGCAGCAGCAGGAGCGGTGCCCCGGGCAGCAGCAGCAGCAGCAGCAGCAGCGGTGCCCCGGGCAGCAGCAGCAGCAGCAGCAGCGGTGCCCCGGGCAGCAGCAGCAGCAGCAGCATCAGCGGTGCCCCGGGCAGCAGCAGCAGCATCAGCGGTGCCCCGGGCAGCAGCAGCAGCATCAGCGGTGGCCCGGGCTGGCAGCACAGCAGCAGCAGCAGCGGTGCCCCGGGCAGCAGCAGCAGCAGCAGCATCAGCGGTGCCCCGGGCAGCAGCAGCAGCAGCATCAGCGGTGCCCCGGGCAGCAGCAGCAGCAGCATCAGCGGTGCCCCGGGCAGCAGCAGCAGCATCAGCGGTGCCCCGGGCAGCAGCAGCAGCAGCAGCAGCAGCGGTGCCCCGGGCAGCAGCAGCAGCAGCAGCATCAGCGGTGCCCCGGGCAGCAGCAGCAGCATCAGCATCAGCGGTGCCCCGGGCAGCAGCAGCAGCACCGGTGGGAGCGGTGCCCCGGGCAGCAGCAGCAGCAGCAGCAGCGGTGGGAGCGGTGCCCCGGGCAGCAGCATCAGCATCAGCGGTGCCCCGGGCAGCAGCATCAGCATCAGCGGTGCCCCGGGCAGCAGCAGCAGCATCAGCGGTGCCCCGGGCAGCAGCAGCAGCAGCAGCGGTGCCCCGGGCAGCAGCAGCAGCATCAGCGGTGCCCCGGGCAGCAGCAGCAGCAGCAGCAGCGGTGCCCCGGGCAGCAGCAGCAGCAGCAGCAGCGGTGCCCCGGGCAGCAGCAGCAGCAGCAGCAGCAGCAGCGGTGCCCGGGCAGCAGCAGCAGCAGCAGCAGCAGCGGTGCCCCGGGCAGCAGCAGCAGCAGCAGCAGCGGTGCCCCGGGCAGCAGCAGCAGCAGCAGCATCAGCGGTGCCCCGGGCAGCAGCAGCAGCAGCATCAGCGGTGCCCCAGGCAGCAGCAGCAGCAGCATCAGCGGTGCCCCGGGCAGCAGCAGCAGCATCAGCGGTGCCCCGGGCAGCAGCAGCAGCATCAGCGGTGCCCCGGGCAGCGCAGCAGCAGCGGTGCCCGGGGCAGCAGCAGCAGCAGCAGCGGTGCCCCGGGCAGCAGCAGCAGCAGCAGCATCAGCGGTGCCCCGGGCAGCAGCAGCAGCAGCAGCGGTGCCCCGGGCAGCAGCAGCAGCAGCAGCGGTGCCCCGGGCAGCAGCAGCAGCAGCAGCAGCATCAGCGGTGCCCCGGGCAGCAGCAGCAGCAGCAGCAGCGGTGCCCCGGGCAGCAGCAGCAGCAGCAGCAGCAGCAGCGGGAGCGGTGCCCCGGGCAGCAGCAGCGGGAGCGGTGCCCCAGGCAGCAGCAGCAGCAGCAGCAGCATCAGCGGTGCCCCGGGCAGCAGCAGCAGCATCAGCAGCAGCTGTGCCCCTTGCAGCAGCAGCAGCAGCAGCAGCGGTGCCCCGGGCAGCAGCAGCAGCAGCAGCAGCGGTGCCCCGGGCAGCAGCAGCAGCAGCAGGAGCGGTGCCCCGGGCAGCAGCAGCAGCAGCAGCAGCGGTGCCCCGGGCAGCAGCAGCAGCAGCATCAGCGGTGCCCCGGGCAGCAGCAGCAGCGGGAGCGGTGCCCCGGGCAGCAGCAGCATCAGCAGTGCCCCGGGCAGCAGCAGCAGCATCAGCGGTGCCCCGGGCAGCAGCAGCAGCGGGAGCGGTGCCCCGGGCAGCAGCATCAGCATCAGCGGTGCCCCGGGCAGCAGCAGCAGCATCAGCGGTGCCCCAGGCAGCAGCAGCAGCAGCGGGAGCGGTGCCCCGGGCAGCAGCAGCAGCAGCAGCAGCAGCGGTGCCCCGGGCAGCAGCAGCAGCAGCAGCAGCGGTGCCCCGGGCAGCAGCAGCAGCAGCATCAGCAGTGCCCCAGGCAGCAGCAGCAGCAGCATCAGCGGTGCCCCGGGCAGCAGCAGCAGCAGCAGCAGCAGCGGTGCCCCGGGCGGCAGCAGCAGCAGCAGCGGGAGCGGTGCCCCGGGCGCGCACTGGCAGAGGCAGGGACGGGCAGGGGAGCTCCTGCTCCGTGCCCTGGAGGACCTCTCCCAGCCGGACTTCAAGCGGTTCCGGGATGCGCTGGCGCACGCGGGGCTGCGCGGCTGCAGCCCCGTTCCCTGGGGCCGGCTGCAGGGCGCCGACTGCGTGGACACCAAGAACCTCATGGTGGAGTCCTACGGCGCGGAGGCCGCCCTGGACGTGGCCATAACGGTCCTGGAGCACATCCAGCGCCGCAACGGTGCTGCCCTGCTGCGGGAGAGCAGGGAGAGAGGTGGGAATGCTGAGAGCTCCACTGCAGGGGTTGTGTGTGTGGGTGCAGGAGCCCTGCGGGGGGACAGGAGGCTGCTATGGGTGCGGGTCCCTGCAGCCGGGCACGGGCAAGCGGAGGGGTTTGGGGTGCTGGAGCTCAGTGATGGTTCCTACTAACACCCCTTTTCCCCAGACCTGGGGCCTGCTCCTCTGCTGGGGTCAGCACCATCAGGTAGGTGCCAATGGGGGAAAGCGCGGGGCCTCCTGTGCTGCTGCCCCTGCTCTGCTGCTGCCCGAGGGGGTCTCCTTCCAGACCACCGCAGCGGGTACAAGAGGGCCGTGCGCCAGGCCTTCGGCCGCATGAAGGACCCGAACGCGCGGGTGGGCGACAGCGCGAGCCTCAGCGCTCGGTACGCGCGGCTGGTGATGGTCACCGAGCACCGCGACGAGCGGCAGCGGCAGCGCGAGATCGCGGCCGTGGGGCGCGGGCACACGGAGCTCATGAAGGAGCGCGCCGGCTCCGCCATCGCCGTCGCCGACCTCTTCAAGCCCGACGAGGAGGGCTGGAGCCCCAAGGAGGTGGTGCTGCTGGGCGCCGCGGGCATGGGCAAGACCATGACGGCCAGGAAGATCATGCTGGACTGGGCGAGCGGCCGCGTGTTCGAGGAGTTTGACTTCGTGTTCTACATCCACTGCCGCGAGGGGAGCCTCCTGGCCGGGGAGGCCAGCATGGGCGACCTCCTGGCGCGGTGCTGCCCCGGCAGCGCCCTGCCGCTGGACGCGGTGCTGCAGCAGCCGCACAAGCTCCTGTTCGTCATCGACGGCTTCGACGAGCTCCGCTTCTCGGTGGAGCGGCCGTGGGCGGAGCTGTGCGCGGAGCCCGGCGAGCGGCGCCCGGTGGACGTCGTCCTGGGCAGCCTGCTCCGCAGGAGGCTCCTGCCCCACAGCTCCCTGCTCATCACCACCCGGCCCGCGGCGCTGCAGAGCCTGCGGCGGCTCCTGCAGCACGAGCGCTGCGCCGAGATCCTGGGCTTCTCGGAGCCGGCCCGCAGGGATTACTTCCAGCGCTTCTTCGGCAGCGCGGAGCAGGCGGCGGCCGCCTTCCGCTTGGTGCGCGGCCACGAGCTGCTCTTCACCATGTGCCTGGTGCCCGTGGTCTGCTGGATCGTCTGCACCGTGCTGAGGCAGCAGCTGGGCCGCGCCGGGGGCCTGGCCCGTGGCCCCCGCACCACCACCGGCATCTACGTGCTCTACCTGTCGGCGCTGCTGCGCTCCCTGCAGGGGCGGCAGCGGCAGGACGTGCCCGCCGTGCTCCGGCGGCTCTGCTGCCTGGCGGCCGGGGGCGTCCGCGGGCAGAGGGTGCTCTTCGAGGAGAAGGAGGTGCAGGGGCTGGCGCTGGGCGCGCAGGAAGCCCTCCCGCTGCTCCTCAACGAGCACCTCTTCCAGCAGGACATTTCCTGCGTCAGCTCCTACAGCTTCACCCACCTCAGCTTCCAGGAGTTCTTCGCGGCGCTCTTCTACCTGCTGGAGGAGGACGGGGAGGCGCAGGCGCCCCCCGCGGGTCCCAGCAGGGACGTGAGGGAGCTGCTGCGGAGCTACGGCAGCTCCAGGAACTACTTCATCCTGACCGTGCGGTTCCTCTTCGGACTCTTAAACGAGGACCGCAGGAGGGAGCTGGAGCAGGAGACGGGCTGCAGAATCTCTGCCAGGATTACACAGGATTTGCTGGAGTGGCTTCAGGACAGGCAGAAAACAGCCCTGGCTCTGGTGCTGGGGGAGACGGGGCTGGTCCGCGACCTGGAGCTCTGCCACTGCCTCTACGAGCTGCAGGACGAGCGGCTGGTGGCGGCCGCCCTGCGCCCCTTCACGGGGCTGCGCCTCCATGGGCTCAACCTCAACCGCTTCGACCAGGTCGTCCTCGCCTTCAGCCTGAGCAGGTTCCCTGGGCTGCAGGTGCTGGAGCTGGGGCACTGCTGCTTCCTGTGGGATGAGCCCGAGGACACCGCAGAGCCACAGCCGGGCAAGAAGCCGCATCTGTGAGTGGGGTCCTGGGGGCCTGGGGATGGAGCCGTGTGGTGATGGGGTCCCGGGGGCTTGGTGATGGAGCCGTGTGGTGATGGGGTCCTGGAGGCTTGGTGATGGAGCCGTGTGGTGATGGGGTCCTGGAGGCTTGGTGATGGAGCCGTGTGGTGATGGGGTCCTGGGGGCTTGGTGATGGAGCCGTGTGGTGATGGGGTCCTGGGGCTTGGTGATGGAGCCGTGTGGTGATGGGGTCCTGGGGGCTTGGTGATGGAGCCGTGTGGTGATGGGGTCCTGGGGGCTTGGTGATGGAGCCGTGTGGTGATGGGGTCCCTGGGGCTTGGTGATGGAGCCGTGTGGTGATGGGGTCCTGGGGGCTTGGTGATGGAGCCGTGTGGTGATGGGGTCCTGGGGGCTTGGTGATGGAGCCGTGTGGTGATGGGGTCCTGGGGCTTGGTGATGGAGCCGTGTGGTGATGGGGTCCCGGGGGCTTGGTGATGGAGCCGTGTGGTGATGGGGTCCTGGGGGCTTGGTGATGGAGCCGTGTGGTGATGGGGTCCTGGGGGCTTGGTGATGGAGCCGTGTGGAGATGGGGTCCTGGGGGCTTGGTGATGGGCTCTGCATGGGCAGAGCTGTGACCTTGAGTCACAGCCGGTGGGCAGGGAGCAGTGCTGGGAGAGGGAGAGAAGGAGGAACAGGAACAGGAACGGATAGGTTAGGATAGCATAGGATAGGATAGGATAGGATAGGATAGGATAGGATAGGATAGGATAGGGTAGAGTAGGATAGGATATGACAGGCTACAATAGGATACAATAGGGCATGATATGGGTAGGGTTAGGGATAGGGGTGGGATAAGAATAGGACTAGGAAAGCAATAAGACAGAAATAGTATAGGAACAGGATACAAATGGGAATAGGATAGGAATGGGAATAGGAGTGGAACAGGAATAGACTGGGATATGACAGAATCCCAGACTGGTCTGGGCTGGATGGGACAGCCTGTGCTGGGATAGCGTGCTGCTGCTGCTGCACTGGCCAGGGCCAGGGACCCTCCTCCTCAGGCAGGCTCATGGCTGTGAATCCAACAGCCCCAGCCCTGTGCTCTCAGCAGGAGCCCCAGAGCGAGCCCTCGGCTCTTCTTTGTGCTTGTGCGGGGGGAAACTGGACAGGGATGAGCTCGGGCACAGCTTCCTCACTGAGCTTTTGGGGCAGCTGCAGCTCCTCTGGGCAGGCTCTGCCAGTGACTCAACCCTTGCCGTTTAAAGCCATTTCCCCTCATCCCGGCCCTCGGGCAAGGGCCCTCTCCACTCATGTGATGAGCATCATCTCATTGCAGGGAAGCCCAGGAGGAGGAGGGGACGCTCTCACCCATCCCCATGCTCTGTCAAGCCCTGGAGGCATCGGGCTGTAGGCTGAGGACGCTGAGGTACGCGGCTGCTGAGGCAGGGGCCGTGGCGCAGAGCCCCAGCGGGGCACCGGGGGCAGCACCGGCGGTGACCGCGTCCTGTGCGGTGGGACCGGGACCGGCCCCGTGTGAGGCCATCACCAGCGCGGCCCCGGCCCCTCTGCACCCCTCTGCAGGCTGGAGCGGTGCGAGCTCAGCAGCGCCTGCGGCGCGGCCCTGGGCTCCGTCCTCGGCACCAGCCCGGCCCTGACCGAGCTGGGTCTGGCTGGGAACAAGGATCTGGGGGACGAAGGCGTGAGGCTGCTGTGCGAGGGGCTGCGGCGAGGAGCTGGGTCCCTGCGGGAGCTGCGGTGAGGGACGGGGACACTGACACCGACACCGGGGGGTGACACGGACACTGTGAGGGGCAGCGGGGAGGGATGGGGACACTGACACCGGGGGGTGACACGGACACTGTGAGGGACAGCTGGGAGGGAGGCGGGGACACTGACACCGGGGGGTGACACGGACACTGTGAGGGACAGCGGGGAGGGATGGGGACACGGACACTGTGAGGGACAGCGGGGAGGGACGGGGACACTGACACCGGGGGGTGACACGGACACTGTGAGGGGCAGCGGGGAGGGATGGGGACACTGACACCGGGGGATGACACGGACACTGTGAGGGACAGAGGGGAGGGATGGGGACACTGACACCGGGGGGTGACACGGACACTGTGAGGGACAGCGGGGAGGGATGGGGACACTGACACCGGGGGGTGACACGGACACTGTGAGGGACAGCGGAGAGGGATGGGGACACTGACACCGACACCGGGGGGTGACACGGACACTGTGAGGGACAGCAGGGAGGGATGGGGACACTGACACCGGGGGTGACACGGACACTGTGAGGGGCAGCGGGGAGGGACGGGGACACTGACACTGGGGGGTGACACGGACACTGTGCGAGGGACAGCGGGGAGGGACGGGGACACTGACACGGGGGAGAGACACGGACATTGGCACTGTGTGAGGGAAACCAGGAAGGGGTACTGGGGGGTACATGGGCACTGTGTGGGGGACACTGCTGGCACTGCAGTGGGAGATGCTGTGTGGGGGCACTGGCTCTGCAGTGGGAGATGCTGTGTGGGGGCACTGGCACTGCAGTGGGAGATGCTGTGGGGGGGCACTGGCTCTGCAGTGGGAGATGCTGTGTGGGGGCACTGGCTCTGCAGTGGGAGATGCTGTGTGGGGGCACTGGCACTGCAGTGGGAGATGCTGTGGGGGGGCACTGGCACTGCAGTGGGAGATGCTGTGGCACTGGCTCTGCAGTGGGAGAGTGCTGCAGTGGCTGGGGGCACTGGCACTGCAGTGGGAGATGCTGTGTGGGGGCACTGGCTCTGCAGTGGGAGATGCTGTGTGTGGGCACTGGCACTGCAGTGGGAGATGCTGTGTGGGGGCACTGGCACTGCAGTGGGAGATGCTGGGGGGGGCACTGGCTCTGCAGTGGGAGATGCTGTGTGGGGGGCACTGGCTCTGCAGTGGGATCCCGGCAGGTTAAAGCCGTGACCACGGTGTCCGCAGCGCTGCTGCAGGAGCCACCTCCAAAGCTGGGTGTAGTCGGGGGACCCCGGCACGGCCGCCTCACTCTGCCCCCCGCAGGTTGGGCGGCTGCAGCCTCACGGCCGCGGGCTGCAGGGCCCTGGCACCGGTGCTGGCGGCCGCGCCCGGGCTGGCGCTGCTGGACCTCAGCGACAACGCGGTGGGGGACGGCGGCGTGCGGGAGCTGTGCGCGGCGCTGCGCGGACCCGGCCGCGGGCTTCGGAAGCTCGAGTACGGCCCCGTCCCGCTCTGAGCCGGGGGCGCTGCCGGGGGGGACTGGGGCGGGTGCGCAGGATGCGGTCACGGCGCTGCCCGGGGATGCGCTGAAGCAGCCCGGTCACAGCCCGGGGCTCAGGGGCGCTGTTATAGAACCCCAGCCTGGTTCGGGTTGGAGGGACCCTAAAGCTCCTCCAGCTCCAACCCTGCCAGGGCAGGGACCCCTTCCACTGGAGCAGCTTGCTCCAAGCCCCTGTGTCCAACCTGGCCTTGAGCACTGCAGGGATGGGGCAGGAAGCAGCGGGTGGCCGGGGCTCGGTGCGTCCTGGCTCAGGCTCCTCTCCCCGCAGGCTGTGGCAGTGCGGGCTCACGGAGCTGGGCTGTGAGGCCCTGGCCGCGGTGCTCCCCGACAGCCCCAGCCTGGCCGAGCTGCACCTGGGGGGCAACGCTGTGGGGGACGGCGGCGTGAGGCGGCTGAGCCCGGGGCTGCGGGACCCCCGCTGCCGGCTGCGCAGCCTCAGGTGGGTGACACGGGGTGGGGCTGAGCGGGGGCTCCGGGAGCTGCTGCGCGGCAGGAACAGGGATCTCAGTGCTCCAGGGCCAGTGGCAGGGCACTGGCGGCCCCCCCAGTCCCCCAGGGCTCCACCACGGCCACCGCTGGTGAGCCAGAGCTGGCTTCTCCATCTGCTTCTAAAGAAGCTTTCCACCCGCTCTTCCCCTGGTGCTACCAGCGAGCCCATCCCAGTGAGCCGGGAGCAGGAAGCCAGGCAGGACTCGGCTGCAGAGGGGCTGTGGGACAGGAGTGGGGAAACAGCATCAGTCACATCTGTGAGGGCAACAGGGCTGGGCTGGTGGAGGCACAGAGCAGGGCAGGTACCGGGGTGAGAAGTCACAGAGCCATGGGATCAGCCGGGTTGGAAAAGCCCTTCAAGCTCATCCAGTCCAACCATTGCCCAGCACTGCCCAGGCCACCACTGACCCATGGCACTGAGGCCTCGTCTATAGGGTTTGTGAGCACTCGCAGGGCCGGTGCCTGCAGCCCTGCCCTGGGCAGCCTGTTCCAATGCCTGAGCACCCTCTGGGGCAGGAATTGTTCCTCAGCTCCATCTAACCCTGCCCTGGTGCAGCTTGAGGCCGGTTCCTCTTGTCCCATCCCTTGTTCCTTGGGAGCAGAGCCCAGCCCCTCCTGGCTCCATCCTCCTGTCAGGCAGTTGGAGGCAGCCATCAGGTCCCCCCTGAGCCTTCTCCACACGGAACCCCCCAGGTCCCTCGGGGCACCTTTGCTTTGCAGGGATGGAGAGGGGGATGCGCTGGGCCTGTCCCGCAGCGGTTGGGAGGGCTCCGTGGTGATGCTGAGCCGAGGGCAGGGCCGCAGTGCCCCTGGGGACAGAGGTGACTCTGCTGGGGGGTGGTGGCCTGGAGGACGGGAGAGCCCCGTGGCCAGGCCCCGCTCCCCGCTCCCTGCTCCCCGCAGGCTGTGGCAGTGCGGGCTCACGGAGCGGGGCTGTGAGGCCCTGGCCGCGGTGCTCCCCGACAGCCCCAGCCTGGCCGAGCTGCACCTGGGGGGCAACGCTGTGGGGGACGGCGGCGTGAGGCGGCTGAGCCCGGGGCTGCGGGACCCCCGCTGCCGGCTGCGCAGCCTCAGGTGGGTGACACGGGGTGGGGCTGAGCGGGGGGTCCGGGTGCGGGAGCCCCCCCTGGGTGCCTCGGGGCCACCGGAGCCGCAGGGGCCCGCAGCTGGAAATGGGAAGTGATTGGGTCACAGTGGGTTAATGGTTCATGAGCACCCACATGAGCTGACTTAAAGCGGCGTTCAGAGCTCTCCCAGGCGGAGCCGCAGCGCGCTCCCTGCCCCAGCTGCAGGCATTGCACCCCCCGCACGTTCCAGGTGCATGGGCACAGATTTTGCTCCATAAGGATCACCCCAACCCTATTTTGCCCCACAAAGACCAAATCCTATTCTGGGGTTGCAAGAAGTGACTGGGGTAATCCGGTCAAGAGGAAGCCCGGTCCTGCCTGTGCCCATCCGAAGGGATGCTCCCCATCCAGCACCAGGACCTCACAAGCAAGGCTCTGGAGCAAGCCCTCCCTGGAAGCTGTTTCCAGGCGCGCAGAGGCCAGGCTGGGGTCCCGGCTGTGCATGGGGTGTCCCCACGGGTCCCCTCCCCGTCCCCGCAGCCTGTGGCAGTGCGGCCTCTCGGGAGCCTGCTCTGAGGACGTGTGCTCCGTGCTCCGCGCTGGGTGCGCCCTGGAGACCCTGGACCTGAGCGAGAACAGCCTGGACACAGGGAGCGTGCGGGCGCTGTGCGGGGCGCTGGGGCAGCACCCGGGATCCCTGCAGAGGCTGTGGTAAGGGACAGGGGTCCTGGCGTCACCGGGGTGCCTGCAGGAGCTGTGATAAGGGACAAGTGCAAGGTCCCGCACCTGGGTCGGAGCAATCCCAGGCACAGCTCCAGGCTGGGCAGAGAAGAGATTCAGAGCAGCCCAAGGAGAAGGACTTGGGGGTGCTGGTCCATGAGAAAATGAACATGAGCCGGCTTCAGTGTGCGCTTGAGCCCAGAAACCAACCGTATCCTGGGCTGCATCCAAAGGAGCGTGACCAGCAGGTCCAAGGAGCTGATCCTGCCCCTCTGCTCTGCTCTCGTGAGACCTCCCCTGGAGCATTGTGTGCAGTTCTGGTGTCCTCAGCATAAAAAGGACATGGAACTGTTGGAACAAGTCCAGAGGAGGCCACGAGGATGCTCAGGGGCTGGAGCAGCTCCTGTATGGAGATAGGCTGAGAAAGTTGGGGCTGTTCAGCCTGGAGAAGAGAAGCTGCGTGGAGACCTCAGAGCAGCTTCCAGTGTCTGAAGGGGGCCTATAGGGATGCTGGGGAGGGACTCTTCATTAGGGACTGCAGTGACAGGACAAGGGGTAATGGGTTCAAACTGAAACAGGGGAAGTTTAGATTGGATCTAAGGAGGAAATTCTTTCCTGTGAGGGTGCTGAGGCACTGGAATGGGTGCCCAGGGAGGTTGTGAATGCTCCATCCCTGGCAGTGTTCAAGGCCAGGTTGGACAGAGCCTTGGGTGCCATGGGTTAGTGTGAGGTGTCCCTGCCCATGGCAGGGGGTTGGAACTGGATGATCTTAAGCTCCTTTCCAACCCTGACTGTTCTATGATTCTATGATTCTAAGGGGTCCCAACCTCCATCTAAACTTCCCCTGATGCAGCTTGAGGCCGTTTCCTCTTATCCCATCCCTTGTCCCTTGGGGGCAGAGCCTGACCCCTTTCGCTGCATCCTCCTGCCCGGCAGCTGCAGAGAGCAATAGGCTGTATAGCAGCAGGAAGCCCACAGAGGCAGGGTCCCCCTGGCATCAGGACCCCCCCCGGCCCCCTCTGCCCTCTCTGGCTGCAGTGCCATGGTCCGCGGGCAGCTCGGGGGGGCATTGACCTCTTCCTCCTCCTCCCCAAAGGCTGCCGAGCTCGGGGCTGGATGAGGAGACCCTGCAGGAGGCGGCGGCGCTTGTCCAAGTCAGACTGGTGTGAGGGCTGGACCGGCGGCGCGAGGGGCTGGGACCGGGCCTGCCCGTGGGCCATGGATGGGGCCGGGGAGGTTTCCTCTTGAGGCGTCCTTTCAGTCCCGCTGGGCTCTGCTGAGCCCCTGCAGCTGAGACCTGTCTGAGCATCGCGGGTCCAATGGGACCTGCCCCGGGGTCCTGGGAGGGTGGGAGGCTGAAGGGAGTGGGGATGAGGCACTGGGGGGTCTGAACTGTTCCTGTTTGATTCCTGGTGCTGGCGGTGCCCAGACACAGCAGAGCTGCATAGACCCCTATTCACTCCCTGGGGATGTTCACTGTGGTTCCAATGGGGTCTGTGTAGTCCCCAGGGAGGGCTCCCTCTGCTCCTGGCCATGGATTTACTGTGAGGAACACTCGTGTTGCAGCCTTGTGCAATAAAGCTCCTCGCAGAAACCTCTCCACGCTGCAGTGGTTCCCATCAGCAACCATGCCCTTGAACGCTGTGCAGCTCCATGGGCCGCTCCTCTCCCACTGCCAGGAGCACTGGAACACAGCTGAGCAGAGCTGGGCACTGGGCTGGAGCTCAGGACCTGGCCCATCCAGGCAGGGCTCTGCAGCTTCTCATCCCAACCAGTTCCAGGTTCTGAGCGCAGCCAATCCCACATCCTCCAGAACGGCTCCGTGCCATTTCCTGCTCCCTGTCCTGACTGGAGGTGCTGTGATTGCAGCAGGGGCCCTCCTGGGAGCTTCAGGCTCATGGTAAGGGCACCAAACACCGGCCATGGTCTGATGGGTGGCGCTGGTGTGGGGCTGGAGCAAAACGCATTCACCCACAGGCACGATGGGACCCACGTCCGTGCTCCTGGCTGCAGCGAACCCTGGTCCCTGGCACGATGGGACCCACGTCCGTGCTCCTGGCTGCAGCCAACCCTGGTCCCTGGCACGATGGGACCCACATCTGTGCTCCTGGCTGCAGCGAACCCTGGTCCCCAGCACGATGGGACCCACATCTGTGCTCCTGGCTGCAGCCAACCCTGGTCCCCAGCACGATGGGACCCACATCCGTGCTCCTGGCTGCAGCGAACCCTGGTCCCTGGCACGATGGGACCCACGTCCGTGCTCCTGGCTGCAGCGAACCCTGGTCCCCAGCACGATGGGACCCACATCTGTGCTCCTGGCTGCAGCGAACCCTGGTCCCCGGCACGATGGGACCCACGTCCGTGCTCCTGGCTGCAGCCAACCCTGGTCCCCAGCACGATGGGACCGACGTCCGTGCTCCTGGCTGCAGCGAACCCTGGTCCCCGGCACGATGGGACCCACATCTGTGCTCCTGGCTGCAGCGAACCCTGGTCCCTGGCACGATGGGACCCACATCTGTGCTCCTGGCTGCAGCGAACCCTGGTCCCCAGCACGATGGGACCCACATCTGTGCTCCTGGCTGCAGCGAACCCTGGTCCCCAGCACGATGGGACCCACATCTGTGCTCCTGGCTGCAGCGAACCCTGGTCCCCAGCACGATGGGACCCACATCTGTGCTCCTGGCTGCAGCGAACCCTGGTCCCCAGCACGATGGGACCCACGTCCGTGCTCCTGGCTGCAGCGAACCCTGGTCCCCGGCACGATGGGACCCACGTCCGTGCTCCTGGCTGCAGCGAACCCTGGTCCCCAGCACGATGGGACCCACGTCTGTGCTCCTGGCTGCAGCGAACCCTGGTCCCCAGCACGATGGGACCCACATCTGTGCTCCTGGCTGCAGCGAACCCTGGTCCCCAGCACGATGGGACCCACATCTGTGCTCCTGGCTGCAGCGAACCCTGGTCCCCGGCACGATGGGACCCACGTCCGTGCTCCTGGCTGCAGCGAACCCTGGTCCCCAGCACGATGGGACCCACATCTGTGCTCCTGGCTGCAGCGAACCCTGGTCCCCAGCACGATGGGACCCACATCTGTGCTCTTGGCTAGCGAACCCTGGTCCCTGGCACGATGGGACCCACGTCCGTGCTCCTGGCTGCAGCGAACCCTGGTCCCCGGCACGATGGGACCCACGTCTGTGCTCCTGGCTGCAGCGAACCCTGGTCCCCAGCACGATGGGACCCACATCTGTGCTCCTGGCTGCAGCGAACCCTGGTCCCCAGCACGATGGGACCCACATCTGTGCTCCTGGCTGCAGCGAACCCTGGTCCCCGGCACGATGGGACCCACATCTGTGCTCCTGGCTGCAGCGAACCCTGGTCCCCAGCACGATGGGACCCACATCCGTGCTCCTGGCTGCAGCGAGCCCTGGTCCCCAGCACGATGGGACCCACGTCCGTGCTCCTGGCTGCAGCGAACCCTGGTCCCCAGCACGATGGGACCCACGTCCGTGCTCCTGGCTGCAGCCAACTCTGGTCTGAGGAGATCTTAACCCTGGTCCCCATCCTGTGCCTGCTCCTCAGGTGCCTGAGGGGGTGATGTGAGGGTCATCAAGGGAACAGGAGCTGCTGGTGAGGAGCAGTCGGAGCCTGGGAACGGGCGGCGCATCCCAGACCGGCTGCGGAGGTTCAGGAAGCTTGGAGATGCTGCAGCCCCTTGGAGGCATCTGGGAAAGGCACTGGGGAGAGGGACCAGGGCCAAAGAGCCCCGATGAGTCCAAGTGAACCCCAGAGAGCCAAAGGGAGCCCCAGAGAGAGAGCCACAAAGATCTGAGCCAGAGGATCCCAGCGCACCCGGAGCACGCAGCAGGACCCAGGAGGGAACAGAAAGGACCAAGCCCGGGTGTTGCTGTGGAGCCTGAACCCGGCGCTGCCACAGCCCGCATGGGAGGGAGCCGTGGTGCAGCCGAGCCGAGGGGAAGGCACGGGGGTGGCACCCGACAGGCTCGGCCCCTCCCCGCTGTCTCAGGTCTGTTCTGCCCTGGGATGTGCCCCTTGGGTACCAGAGCGGCTGCAGGAGCTGAAGGACCCTGAAATCCTGGAGGGACTCGGGAGCGCCCCAAGGATGCTGAGAGAACCCCAAAGGGCTCGGGGGGACCCAAGAGGGAGCAGATGGAAGAGCAGAGCACAGCAAACACCGCATCCCAGCTGCCTGCCTGAGCATGGGCAGGGAGCCCAGCATCGACTGCCAAAGCATCGTCCCAGCCCGCACACAGAGCAGAGACACAGGGGGATATTGCAACAGAACTTTATTTAATAACTTAACCTTTGTACAAAAATGGGTTAAAATTGCACAGAGGGGGCAGCGAGACCCAGCCCGAGGCTGCGGGTGAGCATCAGACCCAGCCTGAGGCTGCGGGTGAGCATCAGAGCCAGCCTGAGGCTGCGGGTGAGCATCAGACCCAGCCTGAGGCTGCGGGTGAGCATCAGACCCAGCCTGAGGCTGCGGGTGAGCATCAGACCCAGCCTGAGGCTGCGGGTGAGCATCAGAGCCAGCCTGAGGCTGCGGGTGAGCATCAGACCCAGCCTGAGGCTGAGGCTGCGGGTGAGCATCAGACCCAGCCTGAGGCTGTGGGTGAGCATCAGAGCCAGCCCTGCCCCTCTCCTCCCTTGCTGAGGCTGCAGGAGGGGCCCGAGGCGGATCGGGGCCGGGGTGGGGAATGCCAAACAGCCGAGCTCGTGCGCTTGAAGTACCGGGGCTTGCTCTTGCCAAAGATCTCCTCCAGCCTGAGGCCTGAGATGAGCCCGAAGAGCTGGTCCGTGTTCACCGGGTGGTAGTACTGGTGCATGATGCCCTGCGTGAGCCGAGGGCCTGCGGAAACGGCCACATGGAGGCGGTCAGGATACACATCAGAGCAGGCTGAGAGAGATCCAGTGCCTAAGGGGCTACAAGAAACCTGGAGAGGGGCTTTGGACAAGGGCCCCGAGCACTGTTCTCATCCTCGGGTCCCACCACACACAGGGAAGGCTCTGCTTTAGCTCCCAGAGCACCGGCAGGAGCACGGCTCCAGCCCCACATGGAGCCAGCAGCTCCCAGCACTGGGTCAGGTCCCACACAGGGCTCTGGGGAAGCTGGGATAGTACAGAGTCACCTGGAGAACTCCAGCTTCCAGCTGAGGGGAGAAAGGAACCAACCCCAGCACCTACCGTCAGCCCAGGCGGGGACCGGCTTCCGAGGGTCGTTCTCATCGTCTGTGGCATCGTCGCTGTTCTGGTCCATGCCGTAGTTGTCCTCGCTCACCTCTGGGTGCCTGCTCGGCTCCGGGCCCTGCAGGGGCTTCAAGTGCGGTGCGGAGATGGATTTCTGAAACCAGAGGCAGCAGCGGCTGGAGCAGGAGGTGGCCAAGGGGGGCCCTGCCCTGCACCCCCAGCACCGGATCACACCCCAGCAGCACAGGACCCAGCACCAGAGGGACCTGGAGCTGCTGGAGCGAGGCCAGAGGAGGCCATGGAGCTGCTGCGAGGGCTGGAGCAGCTCTGCTCTGGAGCCAGGCTGAGAGAGCTGGGCTGGGGCAGCCTGGAGAAGAGAAGGCTCCTGAAGGGGAGACCTGAGAGCAGCTCCAGTGCCTAAAGGGGCTGCAGGGAACCTGGAGAGGGGCTTGGGACAAGGGCCTGTAGGGCCAGGCCAAGGGGAATGGCTTGAACCTGCCCGAGGGGAGACTGAGCTGAGCTCTTAGGCAGAAGCTCTTCCCTGTGAGGGTGCTGAGGCGCTGGCACAGGGTGCCCAGAGAAGCTGTGGCTGCCCCATCCCTGGCAGTGCTCAAGGCCAGGTTGGACACAGGGGCTTGGAGCAAGCTGCTCCAGTGGAAGGGGTCCCTGCCCGCGGCAGGGGTTGGAGCTGGAGGAGCTTCAAGGTCCCTTCCAACACAAAGAGCTCCATGATCCCATGACCTGTACTGGCACAGGGGCTGCAGACTGCAGTGAAACAGCCCCTTCCCACCCTGCAGCTCCAGAGCTGCCAAGAGGAACCTGCTGGTGCCTGGACAGGGAGAAGCCAGGGCCCCATTTCCCACTGAAGCTGCAGATCAGAACAGCACAAGGCAAAGCCTGGATACAGCTCCTGGCTTTGTGGAGAGGAAGGGGATGAGCGGGACACCCGGCAGTCCCATGCAGCACAGGAGCGCTTGGAGATGCCAACTGGAGAACGAACTGGGAGGGCTCTGTACTGCAGGAGCACAGCAGCATCCACCCCTCTGCTCAGCCACTCGGGAGCAGCTTTCAGCCCCTTTCCCTCCTGGTGCCACCTCCAGCACCCTTCATCCATCCGGTGCCACCTCCGGCACCCTTCATCCATCCGGTGCCACCTCCGGCACCCTTCATCCATCCGGTGCCACCTCCGGCACCCTTCATCCATCCGGTGCCACCTCCGGCACCCTTCATCCATCCGGTGCCACCTCCGGCACCCTTCATCCATCCGGTGCCACCTCCGGCACCCTTCATCCATCCGGTGCCACCTCCGGCACCCTTCATCCATCCGGTGCCACCTCCGGCACCCTTCATCCATCCGGTGCCACCTCCGGCACCCTTCATCCATCCGGTGCCCACCTCCAGCACCGGCTCCATCCCGGCTCCAACCCCGCTCCAACCCCGCTCCAACCCCGCTCCAACCCGGCCCCATCCCTGCTCCATCCCGGCCCCATCCCTGCCCCATCCCTGCTCCATCCCCGCTCCATCCCGGCTCCATCCCCGGCTCCATCCCAGCTCCATCCCGGCTCCATCCCGGCTCCACCCCGGCTCCATCCCTGCCCCCGGGCTGGCTCCCAGCCACGGGGCCGCCCGGACACCAGAGCCTCCCTGTGCCCGAGGGCTCCGCTGCAGCCAGGACTCACCTTGAGCGTTTTGCTCAGCCCTGCACCAGCGGCAGCGCTCGGTGCCTCTGCCTGCCTGAGCTGCCTCTCCCCCGGGCGCTGCGGACCAGGCTCCTCCTGCTAGGACAGAGAGTGGAGTCATTCCTCATTCATGCGCACCCAAGCAAAGCAGCCAGGCTGGCTCCGGAACTGAGCCATCCTCGGGCCCTGCAAGAGAATCCTCAGCTCCTCTGTGCCTTTTCTGCAGGAAAAAACCCAAACCCCCAGAACAACCAAACCCAACCCAACCCAACCCAACCCAGCACTCGGAGATAACGTAACCCCACGTCTTTGCTCAGGTCCACATCAGCAAGCTCTCTAGAGCCCACACTCCCCTTTACTGCTTTCAGCCAGGCTTTGAAGCCACAGCCATGGGTTCTGGTTGCCTGGCTCTCTTCTCCTGCCCCACCAGCTCCTCTGGGCTCTCTTCTCCTGCCCCACCGGCTCCTCTGGGCTCTCTTCTCCTGCCCCACCAGCTCCATTGGGCTCTCTTCTCCTGCCCCACCAGCTCCATTGGGCTCTCTTCTCCTGCCCCACCAGCTCCTCTGGGCTCTCTTCTCCTGCCCCACCAGCTCCTCTGGGCTCTCTTCTCCTGCCCCACCAGCTCCTCTGGGCTCTCTTCTCCTGCCCCACCAGCTCCTCTGGGCTCTCTTCTCCTGCCCCACCAGCTCCTCTGGGCTCTCTTCTCCTGCCCCACCAGCTCCTCTGGTCTCTCTCCTGCCCCACCAGCTCCTCTGGGCCTCCTGCCCCACCAGCTCCTCTGGGCTCTCTTCTGCCCCACCAGCTCCTCTGGGCTCTCTTCTCCTGCCCCACCAGCTCCTCTGGGCTCTCTTCTCTGCCCCACCAGCTCCTCTGGGCTCTCTCCTGCCCCACCAGCTCCTCTGGGCTCTCTTCTCCTGCCCCACCAGCTCCTCTGGGCTCTCTTCTCCTGCCCCACCAGCTCCTCTGGGCTCTCTTCTGCCCCACCAGCTCCTCTGGGCTCTCTCCTGCCCCACCAGCTCCTCTGGGCTCTCTCCTGCCCCACCAGCTCCTCTGGGCTCTCTTCTCCTGCCCCACCAGCTCCTCTGGGCTCTCTTCTCCTGCCCCACCAGCTCCTCTGGGCTCTCTTCTCCTGCCCCACCAGCTCCTCTGGGCTCTCTTCTCCTGCCCCACCAGCTCCTCTGGGCTCTCTTCTCCTGCCCCACCAGCTCCTCTGGGCTCTCTTCTCCTGCCCCACCAGCCCCTCTGGGCTCTCTTCCCCCTCCTAAAGGGGAAAAGTTTCCCCTGCTTGAGCTCCTTTCCAAGCCAGACCCAAAGCACCCCCCAGGAGTTCCTTGTCCCCCATTCCTCAGCAGGGAAGGGCAAGGTGAGGGCACGAGCTGCAGGCACCTGCAATTAGAGTCAGCTCCCTCTCATCTGGAGGGGCTCTGCTTAGAGCTTCATTAATATTCTATAGCATCACCAGTTTGAATGCCACGGGCCCAGTGAGAGCAAGCAGAGATGGAGGAACTCATCCTTAAGGGTAGCAGCATGGGGGGCTTTGATTCTTTGCTAATGAAGGCAGAAGAGCAGAGCCATGTCGAGAGGGTGAAGAAAACGCTGTGATGCTTTGAGGAAACCAGCCTTGGCTTTAAGCCACAACATTCCCTGTGGAAGGGCAGAGGAAGCCACAGGAAGCCATCCGGTACCTGTGTTATGGGATCACATCCTCCAAAAGCAGGGAGGGAATGGGGTACTACCCCCCTGCCCTTACCGGTTTCCATATCCATTGAAGCATCAGTGAATGGCACTGGGGGTGTCCTTCGAAGGGATGTGCTGTGGCTGTCACCAGCTCGTGGTGGGGATGGGGAGCTCACCTGGTAGCAAGGCAACGCCAGCTGCACCCCCAGAGCTGGCTGCTCCTGCCCCAGCCCCAGCTCCCTGCAGGGACACGCTGGCCCTGTCACCAGTTTGACCGTGTTTGCCTCTCAATAAGGCAACAGAGAGCACGGAAGCCCTGGACAGGAACACAGCGCTCACAGCACCTCTGTGCCTCCCATGCTCCCAGCACAGGAGCTGTTCCAGGACCACTTCAACTCCCACCTTCCTGTGCTTCGCAGGGAGCGCCGCTGCCGCTGCCCCCGGCTGTGGATGGGGAGGCTTCTCCTTCCCTGCGTGCCTGCGGTCCCTGGGGAGAAACCTGCGCTGTAGGAACAGGGCAGAGCTTGGCTGTGCCCCCAGCAGCCCCACAGCCTCCTGCTCCCACACCCGGGGCCAGCCCGAGCCCTCGGCAGGCTCCCACCTTCAGCGAGGCTGCTCCTGTTCCCTGCCGCACCCTGCCCGTTGCCCAGTGCCCCGAGGGCAGAGCCAAGGCAATACCTCTCCCTCCCGTGTTCCGCCTGCTGCTGCTCCAGAAGGCGCCTCAGTTCCCAGACTTTCTTTCCTTTCCCCTTCGCTTCATCCTCCCTCCTCGTGTGCAGCGGCTCCGCCTGCTCCAGTTCATCCTCCTGAGGAAAGAAGCAGCCCCTGTAACCACCCAGCTCAAGGTGGGAAAGGTGGGAGGACATCAAGCGCATGCTTTGAGACAACCCAGCCCGTGCTCTCCTTTCCTCCATGGCAGGCCTGCCCCTTGGGTCCCCACGGGTACCCCTGTGCTCCAGAGGCAGGAGCCTCCCCTCCCCATCCCACCAGCCAGAGCAGGGCACAGGTCCCCAGGGCTCCTCCTCTACCCGCAGGAGGGAGCCAGAGCTGCTCTTACCCCCTTCAGTGCTCTCTGCTTCCGTGCCTCAGCATCCCCAGGCTTCTTGGACAGCTTCTTCCTGCCCCGCTCCTCCGCCTTCTCCTCCCTGTCCCGCACCTGGGAGAGCCGCACCTGGGGGAAGCCGCACGCTCTGCTCCAGCACCCCCCAGTGACACCCCCAGTGTGTGCCCAGGGCGCTGCTGCTGGGGTCCGAGGGGGTCCGGGTCCCACTGAGAGCCCAGCGCCCAGTGCGTGCGCACTGGATCTACACCGGCCCTGTGCAGCGCGGCCATGGGATGAGGCACCCATGGCTTGGGGCACAGGCACCCCAGGACACGTCCCCACCTTGACAGTGGCTCCCTGCAGGATGAGGGGGTCAGCACCTGGGTTCTGCCTTGCCTCCAGTGCTGCCATCACCCACTGGGGGTGTGAGAGCCGGCCCCGGGGCCCTCACCCAAGCTGTGTCCCAGTGAAGCACTGACACTGCAGGAGCACACCAGGGCTGGGGGTGCTTTGGGCCGCTCAGGTTTTGGGGCAGCAGAAAGCAGCACAATTGCTCTGTTTTCAGAGGTTGCCCCTTCCCAGAGGCACTTCAGGCCATGCCCCAGGATGAGCAGCTCTCCTCCCCAAGGCTGCGGCTGCGAGGGCTTGGGTCACTCAGGAACAGCCTCCCTCAGCCCCACACAACCTGTACAGAAACAGCAACACCAACACCCTGCACCAGCCACCAGCAGCCCACTCCTCATCCCCTTGTCCTCAGCTGAGGGCCAGGCAAGGCGGTAGAAACCAAGCATGATGCAAATACACAGCGAGCCGAGTCTGAGCCAGGAGCATCCCTCGTGTGCTCAGTGCTCTTCCCCACAGCATCTCTGCACCCCCACAAGCACTGAGGCTTTGCTGCCTGTAATGCAGTGTGTGAAGAGCTCCCTGGTGGTGCAGGGAGCTGAGCAAAGCTGGCTCATTGCAGGGCCCGTTCCCAGGACAGCCAAGGGATGCTCCCACACTCCTCGGATCCGGAGCACCGCAACCGCTGCGGGTCAGAACAGGAACGGTTGGAGCCACTGCAGAGGTTGGAGAACAAAAGCCTGTGCTTGTCAGACCGAGGATTCCAGGGTGCCTGCTGCAGCCTTCCCCACCACCCCATTAGTCACTGCCAGCAGCAGCCCTTGCTCGCACGCATCCTGCCAGGGCCTGTTCGCAGCCTCCTGCTCTCAGCTCGCTCACACAGTGGCACCGGGTGGTCCCCAGCTCCAGCAGCGTCCCCACCTTCTCATCGCTCTGCAGGATCCTCTGCTCCATCCGCTTCTTCTTCTCCTCCTCTGCCCGCTCCCGAGCCTGCAGCGCCTTCCTCAGGCGCTCTTCCCTCTTCCTGGGCAGTGCAAGAGGCTGTTAGCATGGACTGGGCTGGCATAGGGTGATGGGGAATAGCTCAGTCCCTGCTGGTACAGGGGTGATGGGGAATAGCTCGGTCTGTGCTGGCATAGGGTGATGGGGAATAGCTTGGTCTGTGCTGGCATAGGGTGATGGGGAATAGCTTGGTCTGTGCTGGCATAGGGTGATGGGGAATAGCTCAGTCCCTGCTGGTACAGGGGTGATGGGGAATAGCTCGGTCTGTGCTGGTACAGGGGTGATGGGGAATAGCTCGGTCTGTGCTGGCATAGGGTGATGGGGAATAGCTCGGTCTGTGCTGGCATAGGGTGATGGGGAATAGCTTGGTCTGTGCTGGCATAGGGTGATGGGGAATAGCTCAGTCCCTGCTGGCACAGGGGTGATGGGGAATAGCTCGGTCTGTGCTGGCATAGGGTGATGGGGAATAGCTCGGTCTGTGCTAGCATAGGGTGATGGGGAATAGCTCGGTCTGTGCTGGCACAGGGGTGATGGGGAATAGCTCGGTCTGTGCTGGCACAGGGGTGATGGGGAATAGCTTGGTCTGTGCTGGCACAGGGGTGATGGGGAATAGCTTGGTCTGTGCTGGCACAGGGGTGATGGGGAATAGCTTGGTCTGTGCTAGCACAGGGGTGATGGGGAACAGGGACTTGTTGCTGTCACTGGGGAGAAGTTACCTTACTTGTCTCACTTGGGCTGAGCCCGGCCTCAGCGGGCTCCTGGGCTAAGCTCAGACAGGAGCAGGCTCTTTGCATGCTGTGGCTCTTGCTGCCATGAGCAGCACGGCTCTGGGGCCAGGCAGCTTCACTCACAGAACCCAATGGGGAGGCACCAGGCAGGGTACAGCAGAGCTGCCTGGGGGGCAGGAGGGGCCTCCAGGGAAGGCGCAGGAGGCAAAGGGACCAACTCACTGCTTCATCTCTGCCTGCCGCTGCCTCTTCTCCTCCTCCAGTTTCTTCTTCCTCTGGTCCTCAGCTTCCTGCTTCCTCCTGAGGCTTTCCAGTCTCTGCCGCTCCTTCTCCTGGAGGGAGATGAGTTCAGACTGTCCCAACCGCTGGGCCTGTTCCTACCCCCAGGCTGCTCGAGCACAGGCAGCTGGAGGCTAAACAAAGGAGTCCCTGGCAGTCCCGGTCACCCACACACCGGGATGGAAGTGAACAGCAGGGGAGACCCAAGGCAGGTTTGGCAACAGGGCTGACTCAGCTAATGAGAGCAGGAGCGTGCGGGCACGGGAGGGAAGCTCCTCAGCCCTGCAGCTGCAGAGAGCAGCTTCAGCTCCTGCTGTAAGGGAGCCAACGCTTCTTGCCTGGCCCGTGTCACCTGCACCAGCGGCTGGAGAAGGAGCACGATGGAGTCTTGCTTAGAGGCAGAGGGCTCCTCACCGATCCCAGCCCAGAACACACCTGAAGGAGCTCCTGCACCTCACCACTGGTGTGGCCGCAGCTGCACGATGCCAGTGAGAGGGGAAGGAGCTGTCAGTGCCCGCAGGCCCATAGAACCCTCCAGTGCCTGCAGTGTCGTTACTTACAACAAAGTCTCCCTGCAGAGATGAGATAAAACCATGGTTAAGGGTTTGGGAGGAACACTGGAACCCCTCCCAGCGCGCACCCCTGTTCTCAGCTGCGGCTCCTTACCAGGACAGAGAACCCCTTGCCTGACCCCACACTGGCTCCAGCCCTAAAGCAGCCCCCTAAGACACCGGGCACGCTCCCTCTGCAAAGGTTCCCAGCTTCCCGAGGCTCCGATGCTCTCCCGACAGAGCAGACGAGATTCCCCGCAGGGGGGGAGGGTTTGGGGGTACCAGAGACCCCCGTCCGTGACGCCCTTGGCACGGACCCTGCGGGGATGGAGGTGAAGCAGGAGCGGGGCTGTGCCTGTGTCAGGATCCCCCCCTCGCCGCCAGCCCAGGAGCCTGCACCCGCCCGGGGCTCGGACGCACCTTGGGGCTGGGCCGGGTCTCGGCGCTGCGCTGGAGGAGGCGGGGGGAGCCCGGGTACCGCTGCACGGCCCGGAGGAGGCTCCGCAGCACCTGCGGGGAGAGGCGGGAGGTGAGGAGCGGAGCGGAGCGGGGCAGGGGCAGGGGCAGGGGCCGGGGCCGGGGCAGGGCAGGGTCCGGGGCCGGGTCCGGGGCACCCCCTCACCTTGCTGCCTGTGCCGGGGCTCCCGCGCTGCTCTCCCGAAGGGAACGGGGACTGAGCCCCCGGCTGCTGCCGCTTCCACCCAGCGCCCATCGCCTGCTGCCGGCTCCTTGTCCTGGTGGCATCAGAGGCGGCGCGTTAGGGGACCCCCGCATCCCACCCTGCCGGCAGCGCTCGCTCGCTGGCACACACTGCCCTCTGCCTGCTCACTGCCAGCACAGGCCATGGAGCCCGGTCAGCCCCTGTGCCGGGCACACCGCCCATCGGGAAGGACGATGGGAAAGGCACAGGATAACCCGGCACGGGAGCTGCAGGGCAGGGATGCACAACATCACCCTCGCCCTCCACTCAGACCCGCTCCAGCTGGTGGTAACAGCACAAGCAGACAGCACAAGCTCACCCCGCTGGCTCCTTGTCCCTTAGGAAGCCTTTGGACACTCACACACATTCACCAGTGTCAGAAATGCCCCACTCGCATCCCTTCATCCCAGAGGGGTTTCACTGCACAGCGAGGAACCCATCCCACAGCAGCAGCCCTGAGGGAAGCTGCACATCCTGAGCCCATCCACATGGGACCGGAGGTCACTGCTGCTCCCCTTCCCATTGTCTACCCCATGCAGTTCCCTCCAGCCAAACCAGGGCAGGGGCACAGCTAAGAGCAGCTGCAATCTCACTGGTCAGCACTGGTGAGAGGGAGCAGGCCAGCTCTTCCAGGCACTTGCACGGGATATAAAACAGGGCAGTGCCCCACTCGCATTCCTTCTGGAGCTGCTCCCAGAGCACCCTCAGGAGCCACCCATGGGCACAGCCAAGCTGCTCCTGCGCTGTCTCAGTCACCTCCTGTGCCTGCTTCCCCAGCCAGACCTGCCCAGGCCAAACACGGCTCCAGGAGGAGCTCCTGGCCAAGGAGGGGTCAGAACTGGGGCCAAACACCCCAAGCTTTATGGATCCCATCACTTAAGCCCAGGTCTGAGCCCCGCAGACACCGGCTCCTGCCTCTTCCTCCCATGGGTCTCGTACCAGATGCATGGGAGATCCTCCTGGGGCCTGGCACAGGGCGATCGCTCCTGCTCCTTGTTCTGGGATTCCCTGTTGGGATTCATCAGGGCTCCTGTGGAGGAGCCTGCAGTCAGCAGCACTGCAGGGCACCCGCAGGGCTCCGCACTGGCCTCAGAGCCCCAGGGCACAGGAACCAGGCTGGGAAAGCAGGAGCCTGGGACACCCGGGGTGGACATGAGCGTGCTGCAGGCACATCGGGTACAGACCCCTCTGAATGGGCACAACCTGTCCCACACCACGGCCTCCAGCTTCTTCCCTCCGCTCTGGCTACAGCTGCTCATGGGGTCCCACTGCCCACCGTGGAGAACCAGAGAGCCCTTCCCTCCCTCCCCTTGCGTGGAGGCACAGGGAGAAGCCTGTAACTCCTCACATGAAGGCAGAGGAGAGGGATGTCAGGGTGCTTTACCAGGACATTACACTAGGTAAAAGATTCCAGGTCTAAGAGCAACGCCCTCCCAAAGGGTCCCCATGTGCTCATGGCACGGACTGAAGCTGGACAGGACAGGACAGCGCAGTCCCCAGCCTCGGACACATGCACAAGGTGTGGGATGCGCACTGGGATGAGCCGGGGCCTCTCCGGGGGGGCACGGTTTACCTGAAGAGGGGGGGTTCTGCCACCACGTCCCACATTGCCCACCCCCCCCCGTGCTGATCCCTGCTCCGTGTCCCTGGGCCCCCACAGAGCAAAGCAGGAGCAGCTCAGCGTTACCTCCATCGCTCCCTGCCTGCTGCTTGGGAGCAGCCGAGCCCTGCGCGGTGTCCTCAGGGAGCGCGTCCTCGGGAGCCTGCAGGAACAGGGACACTGTGAGTGCTGCTGCTCCAAAGGACAAGGCTACAGGAGCCGCTGCCCCGACAGCACCAGTCCCTTCCAGCTTCTCCCTCCTGCATGGATGCTGCGCAGCTCCCGAAACACCAGGCTCTGCAGGGAGCTCAGTGACCAGCGCTTCCCAACCAGAGCAGGAGCTTGCCTGGAGCCTGACCCCAAAGCCGGAGCGCCCTGGGACCAACAGGCAGCATCTGCACGCCTCGGAGACCCCAACTCCCAAACGACACCCTCCATCCCCGGGGGACAGAGCAGGGTTTCGGGTGGGATCACCAGCACCTGGGTACCACTGGGATGCAGCACAGCATCCCTGCATACAGACCGTGCCCTCCCATCCCTGCTGGGCCACCACCCCAGGGCTCCGGCTGGCTGCGCTCCGAGGCGCTGCCCAGCTCATGGAGTGACCCTGGCTCAGCGAAGGGGCAGCTCAGTCTCGAGGTTGCTCCTTGGAACTCACCCCTTCCCTTGGGGGGTCCGGGTCCGGGTCCAGCCCAGGCCTGAAAGAGAAAAGCTGGTTTAATGATCGCAGCTCTCTGAAGCGGGACGTGGAGGTGATGAGCAAACTGTGACAGAGGCAGCGGGTGGGACCCCAGGGGAAGCGCAGCTAAATCTGAATGCATGCATACACATATCCCATCTATTCCAGGCCCATCTGGAGGCACAGCCCTGCTGCAGCCAGGCCCCAGGGCTGGAGCTGTGCCTTGCTGTGGTGCACCCAGCCATTGTGGTGTGGACCAGCACTGATGAGCTCTGAGCCCTCCTGCAGAGCCCACAGGCAGAAGGGAAGCTCTGGGAGCCCTGGGCTGGGTCTTGGGCATCCACCTTTGAGGTGAGACTGCGGGTGCCTGACCTCCAACACCAGCAGGCACTGGGAGCCTGGTTACAGCCTCCAGCGCAGCCACAGGAGCTGCTCAGAGCAGCACAGGAGACACCATCACCTAAAGAGTGTCACAGAGCTGGAGCACAGGGTGACACCAGCACAGGGTCACAGAGTGCAGGGTGACACCAGCACAGGGTCACAGAGTTTGAGCACAGGGTGACACCAGCACAGGGTGACACCAGCACAGTGGCACAGAGCACAGGGTGACACCAGCACAGGGTGACACCAGCACAGGGTGACACCAGCACAGTGGCACAGAGCACAGAGTGACACCAGCACAGGGTGACACCAGCACAGGGTGACACCCCTGCAGTGCCACAGACCCAGCCCTAACCTGGAGCACCGCAGTGCCCTGCACAGCTCCCTCATGGGGCTCCCTGTGCCCGCCCTCCCCGCAGCCTCACCTCGTCCCGGCCACGTCCTCTTCCCCGAACACTTCCAGGGAGCTCTGACCTGGAGGAGGAGAACGGAGGAGGTTGGGGGGGGGGGGGTTGGTGCTCCCCGTGTGCGTGGGGCAGCTCCGGGCGCTGCCGCTTCCCTCCCTCCCTCCCCTCCGCTTGCTCATCCCCGCTTCCACCCCAGCGCCGCCACCGCCCTCGGGTGGCGCTGGCACCCGGCTGTGGGCTGGGAGGAGGAACCGCGGAGCAGGTCCCTGCCTGCAGCCGGCTCCAGCTGCACGGGCTCTGCGGGTGTCAGCGCCAGCAGCTCCCATCACCCAGCCCCAGCTCCTGCACAGAGCTGGTGCATTTGGGCTGGTTTCACCCCCCCAGCAGCACCTCGCTCAAGGGTGCTAACAAACGCCTGAGACAGACAGCGTGACTCAAAGCTGGCAGCGAAACACCGAGGCTCCGGGCTCTGCTGAAGCCACCGACTTCAGCAGCAACGCTTTTAGAGAGCCCAGACAGCAAAACCTTGCCGGGAGCCATGGGAACAGGACAAGAGGAATGGCCTGGATCCTGAGGCCAGGCTGAGCAACACGGTCTGGTGTGAAGTGGGGCTGGAACTGGATGAGCTTAAGGCCCTTTCCAGCCCAAACCAGGCTGGGATTCCATGTGAGCCCCATTTCCTCTGCTTCTCTTCTACCTACACCCAAACCCTTTACATCCTCTGCCTGTTTCAGGCAGATTTCAGGGGTGGGGACGTTCAGCACCTACAGATTCCCTGCGAGTTGTGAAGCCCATCCCCAGGGACCAGCCAAACCCCACCACGGCTGGAACCAGCCAGGCCCCATCTTCCCTTTCCCCCTTGGCTGTTACCCACGCACAACCTCTATAGCCCATCCTGCAGCCCCTGCGCCCAGCAGCCACCTCCTGATGCAGTTGAACACAACCCAGGGCTCGCTCCGGCAGCAGGCGAGGCCCCGAAGAGCGCTCCCCGGTGGGCAGAAGCCACAAGAGCCGTGAAGAGCAGCGGCTCCAGAGCCGCTCACCCCCAAGGCAGGCAGCGGCAGCAACAGCAGCAGCAGGACACTTACAGCTCACTCTGCTGGAGGCCGAGGACGACTCCCGCGCCGCCGCCGCCTTCCTGGCCACGGCCCTGCGGCTCCTGCTCGCCCTGCGGCCGGCAGCGGAGCGGGCACTCAGCGAGCTCCGGCGGCCGGAGCAGCGCCGCGCTCCGGGTCCCAGCGCAGCCTTGGGGGTGGAGGTGCTCGTTCTTCTGCCGGGGGCTCCCTGCGCCCCCCTCGCTGCGGGGCCAGCACCGAGCCCGCGGGCAGGGGCCTCATCCTGCCCCTCGCTGGCTGCATCCGCCCGCGGTGACTGCTCCCACGCAGGGAGCGCACAGGCACCGGCCTGGGCTCTGCTGGGACCCGGTGCTTCTGCTGCCCAGTCCCCAGGCAGTGCACAGGCCTGGGCACCCTCCCCACCACAGCCAGGGTCCAGGGGCTGCTCCTTGCTCTGGCGCCTTTGGGAGCCTGGCTTGAAAGACACGAGCTTGATGCTGCTTCTCCTCCTGGACAACCTGGAAAGAAACCAACATTCAATAAAGGGATGGAGCCTCCAGCTCCCAAAGGGGCTGTAGAGAAGAAAAGCAGGAAGCAAATTGTCAGGTGAGCCTGTGCCTTCTTCCCTCCACCATTCCCCCCACATCCCACCTCGTGTCACTGGTGAAATGCAGGAGCTGAGCCTTGGGAGCTCACAGATGTGCTCACATACAGGTACAACCAACTTTGCCTTGAGCAAACTACAGGCATCCACACGGGGAGGGAGTGGGGACCCAAGATACCACAGTTTTCCATGATCAGCTCCATGTGGCAGCCTCCCCATAGGGATCTACAGGATCCCAGCTGGAAACAGAAGGCTCTGCTACTGTCAGACTGCTCAGGATAAAACACCTCACAAGCACCGAGGAAGGAAGGAACCCATGTGCTGAGAAATCATCCATGGCTCTAAACACAGTCTGTGAACAGGCTGGGGAACAGCAGTGCTGCCACATACAGCCCTGAGGGAACAACAGAGACATCCCTGTACAGCTGGGACTCGGGGATTCCACAGGGACATCCCCGTGCAGCCGGGACTCGGGGGTTCCACAGGGACATCCCTGTGCAGCCGGGACTCAGGGGTTCCACAGGGACATCCCTGTGCTGCTGGGACTCAGGGGTTCCACAGGGACATCCCTGTGCAGCTGGGACTCAGGGGTTCCACAGGGACATCCCTGTGCAGCCGGGACTCAGGGGTTCCACAGGGACATCCCTGTGCAGCCGGGACTCAGGGGTTCCACAGGGACATCCCTGTGCAGCCGGGACTCGGGGGTTCCACAGGGACATCCCTGTGCAGCTGGGTGGGGGTTGGGTGTGGCGGGTGGGTTGGTTGGGGGGGACTCAGGGGTTCCACAGGGACATCCCTGTACAGCTGGGACTCGGGGGTTCCACAGGGACATCCCTGTGCAGCTGGGACTCAGGGGTTCCACAGGGACATCCCTGTACAGCTGGGACTCAGGGGTTCCACAGGGACATCCCTGTACAGCTGGGACTCAGGGGTTCCACAGGGACATCCCAGTGCAGCCGGGACTCGGGGGTTCCACAGGGACATCCCTGTGCAGCCGGGACTCGGGGGTTCCACAGGGACATCCCTGTGCAGCCGGGACTCAGGGATTCCATAGGGACATCCCTGTGCAGCCGGGACTCAGGGATTCCATAGGGACATCCCTGTGCTGCTGGGACTCAGGGATTCTCTCAGCTACAGTTATCCAAGCAAAACATCACCAGGTACCGCAGTGTCTCTGTTGCTTCTGTTAAACCTGGCCAACGGCACCGACCTGGGGGGCTTCAGCAGTGAAACCCTCTTTGCTGCACTAGCAACTTGCCACAAGAGGATGGAGCCATGCACTTGGTCAGCAAGCCAAAGAGAGCCAGGTGCTACAGCCCTTGGTGCACAACCACAGCAAGCAGGGACTGGTCCCTCACCAATCCCCTCCTTCCAGCCTTGTTCTCTTCATTTCTACTCCAGCCTCTAGCAAGAAGAGGGACTTTGCCTTGAATTAGCAAAAGAGACCGAGTGGGAAATGTCCATTGACAAACACATGAAGAATGGGCTTTAAACACACAATGAGAAGAACAGAGCAAGGAGACAGCAATGGGGCTGGAATGCAATGCGTTGAACCGCAGCTTGAGCTTCCTGTTGGCAAAGGACCTCCCGGAGCCTGCGGCCTCAGAGCTTACCCAAGGGAAGCACATCCCAGAGTTGCCTCCTTCAGGGCAGCACCCAGCTGAGCACCACCGGCACTGCCCATTCAGCTCCGCAGTGCTCCCATCTCCTGCCCTCCCGCACACCTGAACTCCCCTCACTCCCTCCCTGCTCTTGTGCTCTCCCCATCCTGTGGCTGGCTCTGACGGTCTTCAAGCTCCGACTCCTCCTGTCCAGCTCCTGGGGGTTCCCACCATGGGTATCAAACCCAAGTGCCCTCATGCACAAAGAGCTCACCACTGCGTGCCCTGGGACAGCAGCAGCAGCTGCCCACCCTCAGTGCCCATGAGCAGCTCCATGTTCCCACCATGGGTATCAAACCCAAGCGCCCTCATGCACAAAGAGCTCACCACTGCGTGCCCTGGGACAGCAGCAGCTGCCCACCCTCAGTGCCCATGAGCAGCTCCATGTGGGATCTTCAGGATCCCAGCTGGAAACAGAAGGCTCTGCTGCTCCCTATCAGGCTGCTCAGGACAAAACACCTCAAACACTGGGCAAGCAGGGATCTGTGTGCTTGGAAACCATCCACAGCTGTGCACGGGCAACTTCCACTTCAGCTTCACACTATCCCCTTCGAGCCTTCCCTCCTGCCAGCTCCAACACCCACCCTGGACACGCACAGCACTGCAGCAGGCTCCATCCTCGGGCTCTCTCAGGCAGGAGCACACAAAGGTTTAGGGAGCGAACACCAACCTCAGGCCAGAAACTGCTGGAACAAAACTCAGCCAAGCAAGCCCCAAATCAAGGCAGCTGAGAACATACAATATTTATTATTCTTTGCTTCTGAGCAGAAAAAGAGGAAAACAGCAAAGCGGAGGAAACCCACACCCCTGTGCCAGACTCCGCGGGAATCAAACCGCGGGTCGGTCTTGACGGGCCCTTTCAAGTGTGTTTGTAACTCGGGGAATAAAGGGCTGGTTATGTCCTTGTGTACATGGGAACGGTCACTGCTTGGCTCCACGGTTAAACACGGCTCCCGGGGCGGAGCCGGAGCCACCCGAGGCACTTACCTCCTCCTGCTGGGCTCCTTGCTGTAGTCCTTCAGGGAGAGGGACTGCCTCTTCCTGGAGCGTCTCCTCTGGGAGGGCGTTCTGGCCATCGGCCCGGGCTCAGCCCCCAGGTTGCTGTAGGCAAAGGAGAAAGAACACCGTGAGAGCCCCCCGCTCGCTGGGGACAAAGGCGAGGGTCAGGGCACGGAAGAGCCGCCTCGCACCGGGAGCACACGGAGCCTTGCACGGAGAGCAGCTGGGGCGCTGCGGGCCCGGCCAGCCCCCGGGGCCGCCCCTACCTCTCCAGCATCCTCATGCCCTGCTCCTCCACCTCCCGCAGCCACGCCAGGCGCTTGTGCTCGGCATCGCGGAGGAACCGGGAGAGCCGCTGCCCGCACACCTCCAGCAGCCGCGTGGGGCCGGCGGCTTCCACCATGGCCACACCTGAAACACAGGAGAGAGGAGGCTCGCACCGGCCGCTCCTGCCCCAGAGCCCCCTCCCCGGGACCGGACCGGACCGGACCTTCCTCTGGCCGGACTCGACTCGCACCGCTCGCCTCTCCCCAGCAAACACGGCTCCCAGCTGCAGCCGCAAGATCAAGCGGGCCTCCGCCAATCACAGTGCACGGCTCCCCACGGCCTGGCTTCTCATTGGCTACTGCTCACGCCCATCACTATCCCGGAGTTAAAATCCCGCAGCCTATTGGCTTCTCCTCCTAGCCCCGCCTTCCAGGCCGTGTGCCCCGCGGCAGTAAGGACTGTTGAGCAGAGGTAGTTTTGAGCGCGCCTGTGTCGATGCAGCCAATAGGGAGGCCGGGCAGAGGAGTGGGCGCGGCGGTGATAGGCTGTCGCTGCCGTGACGCTGCGGAGAGGGGGCGGGGCTTAGTTTGAATTCCAGGCGGGCTACGGGGCCGTTGTGGCGGCTGAGGGACGATGGCGGCGGGGGCGGTGATGGCGGCTGCGGCCGAGCGGATGATGGTGGCGGCGACGGGCACGGCCCTGCTGCCCACCATGTGCAACCAGCGGCTGGCCGAGCTCCTGCGCCAGGTGGACGAAGTGGACCTGGTGTGGCTGGCGGAGATCCGCGAGGAGGCCGCGAGGATGTTCCAAAGGTACCGGGGTCCCTGCCCGGCCGGGCCGCTCCCCCCCGCGCCCCGCGCTCATCCCGGCCCTGCTCTCCCCTTGCAGCCACTACAGCGACAAGCCCGAGCTGATGCCCAAGACGCCGTCGCAGAAGAGCCGGCAGCGGAGGAAGCGCCTGACGGCCCTGCAGGAGAACCAGGAGCCGAGCAGGAAGAGGTGCGGGGGGGATCGGCACTCGGAGACCCCCGTTGGGGCGCGGGTCCGGTTCCGCGGCTTCCGGGAGGGGGGGAAGCGGCGGCAGGAGGCGGCTCGGAGGCGATGTCCTGCCCGCCGCGCTCTGCCTGTTAAAGACCCGGCCCAGCGGCCTCAGAGCGGTTGAACATCGGCCGCGAGGGGCCAGCGGCTCCCATCTCTCTCTTTGTGTCTCCTCTTCCTCTCGTTATCTCATGGAATCCCAGCCTGGGTTGGGTTGAAGGGACCTTAAAGCTCCTCCAGCCCCAACCCCTGCCAGGGCAGGGACCCCTTCCACTGGAGCAGCTTGCTCCAAGCCCCTGTGTCCAACCTGGCCTTGAGCACTGCCAGGGATGGGGCAGCCCCAGCTTCTCTGGGCACCCTGTGCCAGCGCCTCAGCACCCTCACAGGGAAGAGCTTCTGCCTAAGAGCTCAGCTCAGTCTCCCCTCGGGCAGGTTCAAGCCATTCCCCTTGGCCTGTCCCTACAGGCCCTTGTCCCAAGCCCCTCTCTGGGTTTCCTGCAGCCCCTTTAGGCACTGGAGCTGCTCTAAGGTCTCTCTTTAAGGAGCTTTCTCTTCTCCAGGCTGCCCCAGCCCAGCTCTCTCAGTTAGAGAGAGCATCCCCGTGGCTTTCTGTAGCCTCATAGGAAGCTCTACTTCCCTCTGGTGTTGTTGGGCTTTCAGGGGTTCTCATCCTGGATGCTTTAGCTTTGTTTCTTTGCATGTTTCCTAAAGTGCATGGAAGGGCTTTGTTCTGTCCCTGACTCCAGTTCCAGTAACACGGTGTTTCTGGTGTTAGATTGTCCAGGCGGAAGAACAGCAGTCTCAAACTGGTGGCCTCGGCACGACGTTCCCAACGGATCCAAAATAAAGAGAACCTGGAACTCGTCATGGCTGAGGCCAGAGACGCGTCCCCACCTCGACGTGTGACGAGATCCCAGGCGGCACAGGCTAAAAGCTTCCAGGTCCTTCCCGAGACCCCTCCTGTCCGGCACGCACCCAGGAAGGCTCCCTCGGTGGAAGCTGATGCCAGCGATCCCATCAGTGCTGCGACACCGCTCCGGGAGAGTGCTCCCAAAGCAGCAGAGCAGCTCCCCTCTCCCATCGTCCTGAGCTCTGAGGATGGCTCTCCCAAGGAAAGCAGCGCAGTCAAATCCCCCTCTGAGCCGGTGCCTGCAGCCTTTGAGCAGCTGCTCCCTGGTACCCCCGAGGCAAGCGGGGCTGCCCCCGAGCCCAGGGCAGCCGAGGCAGCCGATGCTGCGGTCGCTGTCAGTGAGCAGACCCGGCTGGAGGAGGCCGAGGACTCTGCTGGGGCCCAGCAGGGCCCTGAGAAGGCGTCCCCCCCGCTTGTGAGGGACCCCCCCAGCACCCCGACGGGCTCCAGGCTGAGCCGTCGCTCCGTGCGCAGGAGCCTCATGGGCAAAGCCTCCCTGATCCGCAGAACCTCCCTGGCAGAGAAGTACTCCCTGGCCAGCAGGAGGGAGAGCGCCCGCAGGAGCTCGGCCATCAAGAGGAGGGCGGCTCGGGCGTCATCCGTGATCTCCAGCTCCATCGATGGTGAGTGTGACCATCACCACTGAGTGTGCTTTGCGCCCTCCCTGCTCTCTTTGTTCACCTCCTGCTTTCCACTGCCAAAGGAAAGCGATGTCATGGGCTAGGTCTTCGCTTTGGGTGTGCAGGTGATCTTCCTGGGATGAGGCATGGATGTTCTCTGGCTTCCAGAGACCGATGTGAATAGGGAACCCAGTAACCTCATGCACTCAGTTCAGCCTTGTAAATCATCTGGGAGAGCGGCTTTAAGGCTTCTTGGCTTCCTGTGGTGGTGGCAGCTCCCAAAGCGGAGGAGGAAGCTGCTGAAAGGGCTTTGTGGCTGCTGTGGGCTCTCCTGGGGGCATGAGGTGGCTGTTAGAGGTTCGCTGCCTTTGGGTAGAGTCTGGCTGTAACTGCCAGAGCTGCCCTGAGGAGGGAACGCTGGGGCTGAACTTGGTACATCCATTAGCAGTCTTCCAGGCTCACAGTGTGCAGTGGAGGCACCTCGGGAGGGTGTCAGTGAGCACAGACTGATCTCAGTGCTCTCCTGTGGAGGTGGAATGTTGGGTTGGGTTTGGTGCTGGAGAGAAAGGGGCTGGGTAGAGGCTCTGGCTTTCCACGCTGCGGGAAACAAGTAGCTGGTAAATGTTGGCCTAGTGAATGGCTCCGGACATGCAGGGGATGCAGAAGAGCCTCTTCACCCAATTCAGTGTTGGGGGCGGCTCTTTTGTGCAGCTGCTGTGAAAGGAGAACACTGAGAGCTGAGGTGATGCTGGGTAAGGTGTTGGTGTGCAGCTCAGTGGGGTTTGTGCCTCTCCTGAAGGGGTATCCTGCTTCGCTGGGGAAGAGGTGCCCTGCTTAGCAGGGAAGGGTTTCCCACCCCAGTGCAGCTGCTCTGGGTGAGTGCTCCTCCAGCACTAGAGCCCTGCAGTGTCCTGGGGGGGGGGTTCCTGGGAGCAGGGCAGCCTGGAGCTCTGTGGTGTCTCAGTGCAGTGCAGTGCAGTGCAGTGCAGTGCTGAAGCACCTGTGCAGTGAAGGCAGGTCCATGTGTCCAGATCTGGGGTACCAGGGGGGTCAGGGGTTTATTTCTCCCCCTGTGCTGCTTGACACAACTCTGCCTGCTCAGAACATCTGGTACCAGGGACAGGAGCTGGGATGCTCCGGGCAGCTCTGGGTGAGGTTCTTAATGCCCGACAGCCCAGAGCACTCTGATGGATGGCAGAGAGTGGCTGTGTGTGTGAGGGGGGGTTCTATGTGTGTCTGGGGGCTGTGCATACTGTGTGTGTGCATCTCATGTGCGTGTGATGATGCCCATGCGTGCGTGTGGCGTGTGCATGCACCCCACGTGTGTTTGTGCTTCCTTTGGTCCCAGGTGCAGGGGAAGTGTGAGGGCTGTGCAAAGGCTGCACCTTTGTGATGTGATGGAAATAGAGGAATAACTTAAAATAAAATAGATAAAGTAACAAAACTATAGCAAAGGTAATAAAAAGCACCTGAAGCAGCCTTTTCTGGCTGTGCTGGCACTTGGAGCTGCCCTTGAGCCAGCGGATGCTCCATGCAGGAAGCAGCACTCACCCTAACTAACACTGGGTGCAACCACTGCTCTGAGCCCAACCCCAGCCCTTCTCAATGCAAGTGCTTAATGAGTGCTTTGAACTCCTCTGCCATTGAAACCATCTCCTCTCCTGCATTCCAATTGCTGCATGTTCTCTCTTGCTCTTGGGTGCAGTGTATGCCCAGCCCATGGGTGATAACCTCAGCCCCCAGGGCTCCTGACAGCCTTGGCCTGTGCCTGTTACAGCCCCCGTGTTTGTTTTCTTTCTCTGCAGTCTCCAGCTCTGGAGAGATGCCAGAGGAAGAGGAAACGGTTCTCAAACCCGGGTGAGAATCCTTTATGTTCTTTCTTTACCCTTGCTATCCCTCCTGGGGGACTTACGCTGTCATTTACTGCTTGCAGGTACCAAGGGGCTTCCCCTTCCTCTCTTGGTATTAAATGCACCTGCCTTTTTTCTCTGTGTTTTCCCATAGGCCTTCTCCTGGACCTTGCACCCCCCCCAAGCTGGTAAGATCTGAGCAGAGAAGTGTTTCTGTCTGGGTGTGTTCCCGAGAGGAACGTGTTGAACCCACCTGTATGTGTTACTGGGGCCTCGTACCTGCACCATGAGTGCCAAGGCTTGTTCTGGGCACCAGCAGAGGCGTTTGGGGTAGGGTGCTACCAGCTCGGCTGCTTCCAAAGCTCTGACTGCAGAGCAGCTTTGCCTCTGTCACCTTGCATAGGGGTTGGGGCCTACCGGTGCTGATGACCAGCCCTGGGACTGCCGGCGATCCGAGGTGGGTCCTGCTTTCTGGCTCTTGCTGCTTCCATTTGGAATCTCTGCACATGAAGCACCTCCTCACAGTCCAGGCAGCTGTTTCCAGGGGCAGATAGTGCACTGTTCTGTTCCTGTATTTGTAAAGGTGCTTTTGACCTTTCTGCCAGAGCTGCAGTGATTCACAGCCCTCGCTTTGGCTTAAGGCAACCACAGAAAGTTGTAAATCTCCTTCAGGTCAAAACATTTCTCCATGACTCCCTCCTCTTCCTCCTGAGGAGGAAATCCCAGGCTCACGGCAGGGTTT